AACAGTGTCTTGCAAAAGTTTAGAGGTATAATGTTCGGCTCTGCGGGGAAAACTTTGGATGTTCTCTGTCTGCTGGACCCGGTTCTGGAGGGCAATCTGTGAGGGCGGCTGCTGCGGTCGTTATTACCATCAAGCTGCTAACAAGACCTGCTAATGTTGTTAACAAGACTACGCTGCTAACAGAACAGAACCATGCTGCTGAAAGAACCTCACTGCTAAACGAACCACACTGTAGATATATTTATTTTTCGCTTTTGGAGCTTTGTTTTTTGTATTTTTGCTGCGTGCATTGGTATTTCTTGTTGTTTCTTTTTTGGCGAGTCGAGACGGTTCTTCTCGTTCTCACATTTCATTGCATTGTTGACCTTGTGTTGATTTTTGCATAATGACAAATGAACCAAACCTGAACCTAGACAGTAGATGATTGTCAAAATAACCGTACATTACTGACAACAATTATCCAGTACTGTTTTCCATTGCTCATTAAAACACTGTAAAACTACTTACAGTACCAGTTATGTATAATAGATAGATATGAGAATGCTGTTAACATCAATTTAACCATTTTCTAAGTGCCAAGAGAACAGGGCAACTATGCTATGCTAATTCTAGCTAGTTAAATAATCATAAAAATGTTCAATATTTGTGAAAAGCATCATAAATTGATTAATATTACTTTTGTGTTACAGTAATTTTTGTATAGATGTTAACAGTCAGAGGAGAGAATTGAGCTGATAAGACTTGGCTTAAGTTTTTAACCGTAAGACAACCACACTCCCTGTTGTGCACTACAGTACTGAGCAAGTGCAAAATATCGTAAAATATAAATTAATATAACTTCATACCCTAAAACTAAACAAAAAATACTCCTAAATCACAAAAAGCCTTTCATTTCAAAATGTAAGTCTGGTTGATTTTTGTGGTAAGCCAGCATCACTGCAGTTTGATTTACATCAGTTTAATATTTTCCCAGAATGCATTGCACTCTAATTAACCAATTTTACAGTGAAAACCAATAACTCCACAGAAACTTACTGTACATTTGTTTACCAGCAAAGAACTGCTGACAAAACCATAATTTCACCATTAAAAGAGTGAAAATGGTTTACAGTGTTGCTAATGTAGCGTTCTTTCACACCTGGCATGTTGTTTTTGAGAATGAGTTGTTTTATAAACCTGGAAAACTATAGAAAACTGGCACTCATGAAATGAAAGATGAAATGCCACTTGATTGTTGATTTGTCCTGCTGCCTATTCATGCTGCTGTTCTCATGCTGCTGATTTATTTTAAGCTGCTGTGTTCAATTGTATTCAGTTCAATTGTAGTGAACTTGACCTGATGTCAAATCAATGACCTTAGGATCATATGGTCAGAAACTGTCATTTCATTGATTTGAATCCAGAAATACAGTTTGACCCATCCTGAGACTTTCCTTCTTGAATTAATCAAGTGGAAAAGACAATTCTCTATGATCATTACTATTTTACAAATGTTTTGATAATCAAATTGTGTTAGTTCAAACAATGTTTACATGTTGAAGTGAACTACTCATTTTTATCTACTTAAACAGTAGTAATGATTTTTATTCCTCAATTCAAAGTGAAATCAAGTTAGAGTACATTACAGAGTAATGATTCAATTTCTTGATCGTCTGCTTTGAAAGTGAGCAAAGTTGTAAGTGTGTTAAAGTTCAAGCTTCGGTCAACTAAAAAGTTTACTGAAAAGAAATGTCATGTTTAACTTTTACAGCAAGATACAGGAGAGGTGGCACCACGAAGACTGGTTTTCTCCAACAATCTTTCTGTCTGTTCTTAAACAATCTTAATCTCTATCCTTGACTTTCCATAACACCTTACATCACAAACCACACCTCTGTTCTGGTCCATCCACCAATCAAAAAGCTCTCAAATGAACCGGAAGTGACCCTTCATAAATATCGGCACTTCCTAGTTCAAAGAGAAGAGTTATGAGGATGAGAAGAGCATGAGAGAAGAGTTCTGGAGAAGAGTTCCAGAAGAGTTCTGGTGTAGAGTTCAGCTCAGTCTTGAAGCTGCTGTAAGCTCTGTCTTGAAGATGGAGCAGCAGTTCAAGTAGAGTTTAGGAGTTTTGGGATCCAGAATGCAGAGAGTTTGGGAGTTCGTGAATGCAAAACGCAGGCATTCATGGATGCTGCTAAACCAAACAAGCTGAACCAGAGACTATTTTGGGAATTATAACTTCTGTTTGGATAACCTCGCACGGCTCTCTAGGTATTTGGCTGTTCTCACTGAGACGCTGAACAGTGGTTGGAAGTGAGACTCCACGCCGGAACTGATCTATCTTCAGAAAAGGTAAAAGTCGACCTTCACCGAAAGTGTACTGTTTGGGACAAGCTGAGTTCCGAAGGAGCGTGCACGTTCTGGTTAAAACAGATAAATTCCCTCACACATCTCTCTGTAAGATAAATCTCACTTTTCCATCTTTAAACTCTCCTTTCTGCTAGAAAATTAATCCAGATGTTTTCATTAATGTCTGTGGTGAAGCAACGGAAAACCATGGCCGTATGGTTTCCTGGCTGTAAAACTGATTAATTATGTTGTTGTTTTCATATTCTGCCAAATTAATGTAAATGTGTGATGTGTTAAACTTGATTCTGTTAATAAATGACCCACTCGCTTGGTGAGTCAAAGATAATTAACGTCTCACGTCCACATTTCTGTTGAATTCAACGCACGTACATCACACAGTCCAGAAAGATGAGTGAACCCGTTTAATGTATGAATATAACTCAGGATATGTCATACTACAATCTGCTCACACAGACTCATGTTCCTGCTGCTGTTGTTTAGCATATTGCTTTTGCACTATTAAGTGTTTCACGTATTCTTAATATAGCATATTTCTAAGTTCATATCTTAGATCTTATTACTGTTTTTTTTTATATAGTTTATACTTTTGTTGCATGTAACTGGGACCCTGTGTACATAATTTTGTTCCACCACATGTACCACATGTGATACAAATGACAATAAAGAAACCTTGACTTTGAAAACTTTGCCTCTTCACTCTAAATCTATGACTCCAGCTGATGGGGTGTTAAATAGTGTTAACTATTTTACAGAACATCACTTGGAAATGACTATCCCTTTAAGGTGAAATACTGGTAAATAAAAGTTTATTCTACTTGTGTAACTGAAGCTAGCTCTTCTTGTTGAAGCCGGACTTGCTCGGAGCACAGGAAGTTTTAGGAGCGGGATCACAAGACGGGCCGAGGGAAGCAACAAAACCATCGTCTCTCTTACTGGGCAACTTGGTTTGAGATGAAACTATCACTGTTCAACTGCTTGAGGAGTGAAGACAGTGACATAATTTGCCCTTGAATCCCACACAGGGAGGGATTTTTAAATGTAGGTTTCTTTCTTTGCATCTGTAAACATGTTCACCACACACGTTCATACTGCTATTATTCCTATACAAGTTTTTCTTTTCACATACATATTCTATTGTGTATTATATTGCTATTACAGTTTATTTACCAGGGATGTTACAGCTAGAGTGAATGAACTCACTTTTGTTTAAACCAATAATCGGCACAAAACGCCTTGTTCTTAAAGAAAATAACTCCAGTTCTTACAGGTAAACACAAATGTTCTGCTGATGCTGTTGAGGCTGCAAACCAGCAAACTAATCAATGCTGAGTCATTTTCATAGCAGTTTCTTTACTCAGCAGTAAAAATCACCTTCAGTATAACATTTGTTTCACCCCTTGAGCTACCGCAGGGAGGATGACATGTGAAAGAAATAATGACGTGTTTCTCAATTATGGTCCAAGTTTCAGAAAGATGGGCTGAGCTATTTTGGTAAACCACATACACAAGATCAAAGAGAACTCTGTAAGAGTTAAAACAATTAAAATTGAATGTCCTTTTTAGTATGTATTGAAGTTAGTGGCTCAGGACAAACATTTAGTCACCTTGTTTTATCTCCAAAAAAAAAGTCTGATATGAAACTAATTTAAAAAGAGATACACCAAAACAGACTACAACATTAACATAAACCTCAGCCCTTTTCATAACAAGAAAATTAATTACACTGCAGGTTTTTTTTTTAAATAGTGAAGAAATTTTAGTTACCAATTTGAAAAGCAAATAAGTCATTGTGTGCTGAATGACAGGTAACGCAAAAGTACCTATAACTAGCATTTACAGGAACCCAGAGCTTCTGGGTTTCGATGGTAGAGAAAGACACAATAGTGGTATCACATCATTGTGATACTGAGAATGACAGAAACAGGGTCAATAATAGACTGAAATGACCTTTACCTAACTGAAAACTCTTTATTTTTCAGGGGATTACACACCTGCAGAGGACACACTCTCATCAACGGAGCACAACACCCAACATGATCGGGATGAATCTGACCAGAGCAGCTTAACCAGAGAATGCTGGAATCAAAGTCAACAGCAGTAAAATCCTTACTGAAGATGACAAAACTTTCAAAGTTTCATTTCTGAAGCAACGCCATACAGACATCAATGAGCAATTCAATTACATTCTCTTTTTTCAGAGACAAGACAGAAGAACACTACAATAAGAAGAAACCTTCTGAGGCTCCTGCAGGAGACAGACAAGTCAGCACGGCTGGTTTCAATCAAAACAAAACTACAAGCCCTACAGAGCTACATTACTTGGTAAAAGTTACGGCGACATCTTAGGACTGCAAGGGTATACGCTGAGGAAGAAACAATTGAAGACAAGTCTAACAAACAATATGAATCTTTGGTATTATCTTCAATTATATGACCAAGCCGCTGGATGCTTTAACATGCCCAAATTTAAAAACACCAGGTAGAATATTACTTTGTGTGATTTTGTGCATTTTTATTCACAGCCCAAGAATCATATGTAATATGGCCAATCAAGCATGTCTAATTTTGGCCTCAGAAGCTGATAAATACAATATCAAGTATATCAAATGACATCAATCAGCAGTGCTCAATGGGGGGGCATTTCCTCTTACCTCGGATCTATTGAGACAAACTTGTCCTCACTGCTAGAATCCTATTCCTGGAAGACAACAGGAAGGCAAGTTTTAATCAACAGGAAATCAGAACATCCACACTTTGTTGGTGGTAGTCATATTTGTACTTTAAAACAGTGCTGCTAAATTGGAAGTTTTTCATACATTTCAACAGATGAATAAAACAAGCTAAGATAAAACCTTAATGTGTCATACCCTCCATGCCCTGTCCAAAAGGGTTATTTTTGTTTTAATGGAATGTGGCATTTCCTGCAAATGTTTTTACAATAAAATTACAGCGTAGGAAATGCATGAATCATCACATACTGAATTTTGTTATAAAGATTTTATGTAAAGTGATTATTGAAGCTTTTTTAAACAAACAAACAAACAAACAAACAAACAAACAAACAAACAAACAAA